AGGAAGCCTTATAGTGGAATAGACGCTGTAGTGTGTGTGTGCCTTTTGTAGCGGGTGACCGGATTCAAACCACGAAACCATCACACGTATTGACGCTCGCTGGCAATGGGCGCTTGTACTACGCATTATTGCTGCAATATTTCATGTTGCAGTGTGAAGCACGTAAACAGGACGCTTGTGTTTGTAAAGCATAAAAGCTAAGTTTCACTACATTTCCGAGCAAAGGACGTTCTTTTCACTATATGCAGAAGCGTGACCGTCCAATAAAGAAAAAAAAAACAGAAGCGTGACCGTCTGGTAGAACATCCGCTTGCCACGCAAACGACCCTGGTTCGGTCCCCTCTGACCCCGGATTTTTTTTTTATCAGTTATCTTATTTGCGTCGTTATCGATTTTACGGTCACGCGTGAGACGATTTTTCGTCCAGAACCAACGACGCCGACGCTAGGGTTTTTGCGAAACGAGCTCTTTAACGCGTTCAAACGCGAAGGGTTCTGGCTCGCTAGCGCACGCCGACTGCATGGGTAGAGAAGAAGCAGACGACGCGGGGCACGGATCACCTTTACGAACCAATGCGCCTGCGCCGCATTTCGAAATCTGGATAGCAGCTATAGCGCTTCGCGGACCACTGCCCACGCACTGGCGTGTTCCAGTGGACCGTGCTGTCCTATTCGATTCGATATTTGAAATTTTCGGATATTCTCACACCCCTAGTCTTTACTTCCCACAGAACTTAAGCTAAATAAGTCTGAGACCAAAGACAGACTCTTGTGAGAAGCACGTCATTGCTTCATTTTCTTTCTTTTTCTTTATAGATTTGACCCAACCAACGGGAGGGACAGAGGGGGGGAAAGAGGTTGAACCTTGCCTTCACCCCAAATGGGAAACCCTCCGACTTTCGGAGAACTCTACGCAAGTCTCTACATGCGAATGCCCGTAAGAATACGCTTCAGTCGCAGCCAACCTAGAGTTACTGTATATGCTACCTTCAAGTAGCTTATGGTAGCATATACGGTAACTGTAAGCCAACCGTAACCAGACGTGACCCAGTAATGCTGAGATACAGCGGGAGATGTGCAACGGAACCGCAGCTTTATCGACGAGGCGAAGCTGCACAGATGAGACTTGACGAGGAGGGTTTTGCTCTACGAATACCAAAAAAAAAAAAAAAAATTCCGCCATATCCACGAAGTGAATGATGATGAGTGGGCGAAGCTCCGGAGGTAAACCTGGTAAACCATGAATCCTCTGTACATTTTGCCCACTCGATTTTATTACATCGCTCCCCCTAGCGTACGTCGCCGCACTAAATCGAACGATTGCCTTCAACCAATGACACGCGTCATATGTGACATCATTCCTATTTTATAAGATCTCGCGTCTTTCATCAACTACAAGTACCGCTTTCTAGTTTATAACATCTTGCATCTTTTCATCATCAGCTACAAGTACCACCATCTAGTAAACACTACAAGAACTAAACGAGAGGTGGCTACATACAGGAGACGGTACCACCATCTAGTGAACACTGCAAGAACTAAACTAGAGGTGGCTACATACAGGGGACGGTACCGCCATCTAGTGAACACTGCAAGAACTAAACTAGAGGTGGCTATATACAGGCTACAGGGGATGCACAGCCCACGCCCTAAGGAGTTTCGCCCCTAAAAAAAAAAGGCCTGCAGTTGCCGTACATCGCTCATTTTAGCTTGATCCACCACAGAACACCTACCAGTTTCTGATCCACGTTCAGCGGTTACTTTCGACAAACACTGAATGGGCAATGCACGCGAGTGTTAGAGCGAGCTGGCCAAAACCTGTTGCCTCTTGATGCGCATTGAAGTGAAAGAGCGTACCGACATAATTACATACCCGCAACCTCATTTCCGATTACCATCGCACTACGTACGCTATCCAAAGCCCCATTGTGCTTATCCGCCGTCGGTTTTCTGTTTGCTACATCGGCTACGCGTGTACCGAGCGTGCCTTGTTCAGCCCGCTCAACCTAGCCGGTTTCGCACGCGAACATAAACTGTCATTTCGTTGCTACTCACCCATTCTGAGCACGTCAAGGTGCCGTTCCTCGGCCACGGTACTTCTCTAGGGTTCGACGAAACGCGTCGGCTGAACACGGCAGCGTAAAATCTCGCAGCACCAAAGCAAAAATACCGCCTTTTTTTTCCAGCGGCCATTACAGGTGATGACCCATATTGCCAGCATAGAAAAGTGTAACGGTCATGAACGTCGGCCATTATCGCGCCCACAGTCGATAACGCAGGCGTAGTACGTTGGAAAATATATATAATCTTATTCGCACAGAGGTTTTTTCAAGATTTTTGTCTTGAAAGGGGTAGGGGAAGTGTACCAAATCATGAGAGCCCTGGTGAACAAGTATTAATATCTCAATTTGCCCACCTCTCACAGCGGTGTTCTCGCAAAATACCAGGCTGGTGGCAAAATGTTCCTAGTCAAAATACCACCACGTTGAACGCTTCCATTCAACTTGTGAAACCTCTCAAGACTCGCCTCTACTTTCGTTTCTTTAATTAAAGCAGACTGCAATCATTGATTGATTTGATTGATTGATATGTGGGGTTTAACGTCCCAAAACCACTATATGATTATGAGAGACGCCGTAGTGGAGGGCTCCGGAAATTTAGACCACCTGGGGTTCTTTAACGTGCACCCAAATCTGAGCACACGGGCCTACAAGACTGCAATCATGCCTCATCAACAATTTCGCCTCTGTACAGGTAGTCAAATTAAGACTACCTGTACATGATCCTGTAAATGATCTGCTCTGCTCTCATTTGTTTGTTTGTTTGTTTTTTTGCAACAGACCAACAGTTATGGAGTATGCGTGCAATGATTGTAAGAATAAACAGACTCCATAGTTAGTGCTGTAATCTGTGTCCTTTCCGCATCCTGTTATTTAGCCGTTTCTTCTGCTAATTTATAGTCAAATGTTGCAGGATCCTATGGCATCCTGCTTACGGTACGAGGTGAAATGAAAGGGAAGCATACCATTGCTCACAAGTTTAAAGTTACATTCTTCCAAGCTTGCTTTGAATATAGTAATAGTGAAAACTAACCTGAGGAGGCAGTAAATTAATGCACATAACTAAGCTACCAAGAAAAATGTCTCAATTGAGCAAGTTAATGCCTGTCTATGTTGTGCCCTTGTCGCATGTTCATGTGCTTTTTCTTTTCAATAATGTCTGCAACATAACTACAACTACATCACGCACACTTACTACCAAGGGTTTTGGTGCACATTCCACAACAAATCTAAAAGCATTTTCTATTTATTAAAAGAGCAACTGCTGCATCAATGGCTGTCATAGCCTAAGTTAAACATACAAAGTACAGTTAGTACAGACATTGAAAAACTGGGCTGTACAAATCAGTTCAGTCTTTGGATTCCCAACATGAAGGGCACATCATGCAAGCCTTAAAAATATAACAAGCATGAGAATGAATAACAATATTTTAACACATGAACTTTGGATAAAATTGTGATAAGACGGCCGTGAGCTCACATTTCAAAAGGAACAAACAGACTAAACAAATAAACAATCTGAAACAGCTAATAAAAATCAAGAATGTGAGCAAACAAGACGCCGATATGGTGAGGCTGATATTACTCACTTTAAAATAAATTCTAGAGTTTTGTTTGTAGAAAGTAGAATTTGATCATGAGAACGCGGCAGTGAGAATTCCAGATTTAATTTCATCATATGAAGTTCAATAAGAAGTACCTAATGCACAATGCCCAAGTGATTAACAGTGCAGGGAGAAACGATGCACATTTCTTGAAGAGCAGTGCACTCACTAATTAAAGACCACTGAGCTATTACACCTGATGGCATATCACACACTTTATCTGAAGCATGAGCTCAAGAAAGAAGTCCTCTCATTTGTGCAATTTATATATTAACATTAGATCTATCTCGTTCTGCTTTTTGATTATCAAAATGTAAACAAAGCTTTCAAAGTTCATGCCATATATTTACACAATATCAATCTGAAAATAGGCAGAAAGAGAAAGATGGACGTTTCAGATGAAAAATTGTTGAACAGAGGGTGTGTGATGGAGCCGACATTCTTACAGGCAGACTTGTCTACTTCGAGACTTTAACAAGTCTACTTGTCGATACGCCCGCTACAGCACGGGCACCTCCTGTTATCAAATTTTTCATGCACAATAACAAAGAGGTACATCGAGTTGCATGCGAAATCTCACTTGTCGAACGTAAACTGTCCAAATATTACAGTTATACATATAAACATGACACGACTATGAGGAACACAAAGTGAGTACACTGACAATATTGTCACGGCGCGAGAGTAAACAAAAAATAGAAATATATTTACAGATTGTACACGGAGCACACAGTGTCTTCCAGCCAAGATGGCAGAGCGGCAACAACAACTTGAGCTCTTATTCAATCGTCACCTTCATCGCCTTTATGGACCCTTCCTTGATGTTCATCATGGCTTGTATCAATATGAAGCAACATGATGTCCAGATAAATTGCAATGCTGTTGTCAATAAAGTGCATACATTTTCTAAGTTATGTCTAACCTTCACTTGGAAAGCCATCCACACACTGGACTTGTACATATAAACACCACAGAACACTGTACAACTTAGTACAAATTCAACAAGCAATTCTGAAATTTGTATGCAAATATTCATGCTAATAAATGTACACAACTTTGGATACTTTCACTGCTTACATTTCTAGATACATACTAATAAAGAAAACACCGAAATTGTCCGTGGAATTCACACACAAGAAGCGTACACCGGGTTTGCATGGCAAAAATACAAAAATTGCACATGTAAAAAAAGCTAAAAAGATATATGTGTATATAACATTTCTCTCCCTTCTAGCTCTGACAAGTGCCAAGATAAGTGACCAACTAATACAGACGCATGAAATAAATATACAAAGTAATCACAAACATGTTAAATTATCTAAAAACACTGACTGTAATCACGAGAAGAAGTCTTTCAACGTTTTTGTCTTCTCAGCACATGCTTTTTTCGTTCGAGTTGATTTCTTTGTCGTCGTCGAAGCAGTTCGTTTCCTACTGACAGCGGTCGCGTTGGAAGACGATGGCCTCGGAATGCGTTCATCCCGGCTGAGGTTCAGTGCAACGTGATAATCGTCATGTTCTTCCTTCTTCCAGACCACAACGGTCTTTCCACACTGACCACACTTGTGCAACAAGCTCGGGTCTATCGACAGACGATCCCCGCTTCCTCTTACACCACCCTCTTCGTCACTATTAGAGTCGATGAAGCATACATCGTCATTAAATGAGGCAGGTACGGAAACTTTATCAGCAGCGTTCACATTTTCAGGAACTTTCAAAGGTTTGGGACCACCTTCATTTGAGAGGACCGAACTTCTGGTTGAGTCGTCAGCATTCTCAGTGAGAAAGTTAAACCCGGGCAATGCGTTGTCACCACATGGAGTAGAGATACGGTCGTTAGAAGCACTATCGTTATTCGCGACAGGGATACCCGTTTCTGCATCCCTAGCACTGCACGTTTGCCCCAAACTGTTCGCAGAAGACACTGCTCTCACCGTCGCATCAGTTTTGGTCGTCCACATCTTCTCAAAATAGCTCTGTTTCGGGACCTCTGACGCAGCCTTCTTGGTGCTTTTCTTAGACGTTGTCTTCTTGGCCTTAGTCGCAGCCACCTTTACGGTCTTTTTCGGAGACACAGTGACGGGTAACACTCGCTTCACCTCTTCTACGCGGCGCTGCTCCATCGCTGGGGGTGGCGAGTTGTCACTGCGTTTCCTAGTTTCTCGAGGGCTCTGCAGGATCATTGCAAGCTTCTCCGCGAAGGGAAGGGTGTCATTCAAGCCTTCCTCTTTTTTGGGTGTTACCAAGGAGCAGGATGGTGCCGGCCCTTCTGTAGCAGCAGATGCTTTGTCCTCCTCCTCTAATTTTTCGTCCGATGTCTGGACTTTCTGCGGTGTCGTGGGTGGCAGCGGTGCAGATGTTGGCTTCTCAGACTTGTCAGCCTTCTTTGACTGCCGCACAAGAAACCTGGAGATCTCTTGTGAACCCTCTTCCAAGCTGTCCCGAAACTTTGTTGCTGCCAACATGAGGCATGTCAATGGTGGCGTCCTATGTGGAGAAGGTTGCTAATTAGGGCACATGAAGCTGACAAGAACACAGGCACAAGTTATTTCTAAATAATCAAGCTTCTACAGCTTTTGCCTTTCCTGTGGATTGTAAAACATCCATAACGCAACAAAACAAAAGGTACAGTTGGGACCTTGATCATATAGAATATCCTGGATATACTAATCATGATTAACACATTATAGTCAGACCAATACATCAGACCAATGTGCATTGCGAAAAATGTTCCTTCTTCCGTTTCATCTTTTTTTCTTTTACGAGATACATATACACTCACAGCTTATAACAAAGAAGTTGCATCTTACACGAAAATAAGTTTGTTATGTTTGAAAATGCATTACAAAAGTAGATTTTTAATACTCCATCTGTTGCAAGACTATTTGAATTCATTTCGTTATAACCAATATTTCGTTATATTTGGGTCCGTTATATTGGGGTTTGGGTGTATTCACATGTGCACAATAAGTGAACTTGTTGGTGAAGTGCACTCTTGTCTGTGTTATCAAGCACTGCTTCATGGTGGATGTATGCCAACCTGCTTGTATTCAAACGACTTCAAGTCTCGAACAGCCTTCCCGTATCTTAAAAAATTTTCTGGCTCTCCTACCTATGAGCCATGTAAAGCACGCATGCACAGCATATTATCCCGACTCACCACCTGTCCTTGGACGCTGCAGAGGTTGTCTTGAGCTTCAACACTGCAGCCAATGCATCATTCGCCACCCTGCCAGCATCATAGGCGACCAACTGGCAGGAACGCGAAGTGCCTCCTTCCTGCCCCGCTTTGCGCAAGCTCACCACCAACAGCTGAGCGATCCGGTGGTTCTGCATCCGTTGAAGGCAATGATCCATTCACAACACAGCAATGGTACTAGGAAAGAGAGCATTGGGCTCAAAGATTAAAAACAACAAAGACATTAGCCTCGCGACAAAGATACATCTTGTTAATACTCTGCTTTTTCTTGTGATGCTGTAGAGCTTGCCGAAATAAGAAAGAATTCAAAAGACTTTCCCCAACCAGAAAAATGGGTATAAACGAGGCGTGAAGTGAGCGTGCCTGATTTACTACTTTTCTTTATTTCTTTCTCGCTGTCACATAGCAAGAACGTTCTTTCTAACTGTTTCCTTCCTGCATGCCAGAAATCCCAACTTCATTCGCTTGCTTAGCAACGCATTACTTCATTTGCCACAGGCATATACAACAGTCATGCATTCCTGGCAAAAGGGAAAAGTGCCAACATCAAACTACAAGTCACAGTGACAAAAGATCAAACTGCTGCATCAAAAACAACTGAGTGCCTACAAGCCAACGCTCAAGAGAGTGTCGCTCATTGGAAAACAGCCTACAGACCACCTTACAGGTGGGTTTGAGTGCCGCCATACTGGGCTGCTAACCTTTGTATTCTGCATATTCAACTAAACGAATGGGTTCCCGGTAGGTGCATACACACAAAAGCGGTTGTATTGTTGAATGCGATGTCTCACGCCCTTATTAATTCATGTCTGCATGTACAAAAAAAAAAGAAAGCAGCTGCTAAACAGCCCAAGAAGGCAGCACCCAGATGTCTTACGGAAAAAAGTCGACAGAAGTACGCACTTGAGCGGCAGATCTTCATGGGCAGCATTTCTGTACAGCCGACTCTCATTATTTCAAAATCAAAGGGACTTCTGAATGTTATTTGAAATATCAGAAGTTCTCGGATAAATGACTCTGGGTAAGGTGACACCCCACATTGTGATCAGGCATTGATTTTATCACATTTAAAAATCTTTTGAGTGTCTTTAAACCTTAACTCCACTCAATGAAGAGAAGGCAGAGGTGTAAGGTCCACAGGTTTAGTAGCCATTTACTGCTGATCAGACCTTTTAAAGAAATCGTAAATTGCCAACAGCTTCTATATTATAGGTATGTGCCTTTAGCACAAAGCTCTCTAAAGCAGTTAAGAAGCATCACGGTTTTCCATGCGTGTGCTTTGTTTCAAACATTTGTTTACATGCAAAGCCTTTTTCCTTGAAGGCCCGAGGTGCTTATTTTTCATTTTTAGTCTGTGAGGATTATATAGGCTTGCAAATTTTAAACAGTAGCGAGAAAGCAGCAGATATTTTCTGGTATGGAACTGCAAAAGTATGAATTAACCGAATGATGCAGTTTGAATTAGGAGGTTTTTAAATACTCTGAAAGAATAGAGGGCCAACCAAACAATTGAATTTTGTTTGAATTAACCAAAAGTTTGAATTATCAGAGTTTGAATTATCGCAAGTCTACTTTAGTATGTTCAATAGAACCAAATTTTTCGCAAAGGGCACCACCACTGATATCTGTGAGTCATAGCAAGCTTCACTTAAAAAATCTAGATTTGTATGAACCACAGTACTAGCATAAAGGCTTGATAATCTCACTGGAGTGTCAAGTGAACCAACGTTTTAGCCCTAAGGAATATTTGGAATAATATGGGGTGCGCAGATGAGAAAACGACAACCAAAAACTACGACAGCGTGCTATGTAGTGGCAAAGTGAATGTGATTTATGCGCATATGTGCCGGGCCGTGTCAACGAGGAAAACTGTGGCAGCTCGTGACATCCTCGAGCATTTGTGACCAGTGGCTTCGGCAATGCGCGAGGTTCGTTGTTCGAGGAAGGACTACCTCCCTGGCCATCTGGTCCAGAAGTACAACCCCACCTACATGACGACACTCCCACCCACAGGCAGAGCTGTCCAGCCCTCTGCTAGGGTCAGCTGGCGGCGTGTTTCTGAAGGTGCCCTTGCACCGCTGTTCCAGGAGGGCTGGCGTGGGGTTTCCGAGGCATGCTGCTGGCGCTCAAGGGCACAACCCCCTGTCCCTGGAAACCTGGTGTCGTCTGCTCCACTTTGTCAACCATGCCGCAAAGCTACCTAAGTTCTACTCATTGACCTCGCGACTGCTGTCGTGTGCATCACTGCAGGTGACAGCAACGCCGAAGTGTTAACATCCCCACTGAAAGGTTCCAACGTGGCTTCAACAACAGCTTAGGCTGTTGTTGACCCGACGACCTGAACTGTAGCTTGACCATTCGATTTATTCATTTAGCTCAGCTCACGTGCTTTATGTCTGGAATGTTAAAGCAGAGGGGACGAAAAAGAGAGAGAGCCATGCAGGACCACCATGCGCCCAGAGAAAAGCGAGAAGACTTTCTCCACAGTTTATGCAGTGCTTCTGTGTCCTCCTCACCAACCACTCTATGCAGCGAGATAGTATGTGGAGGCTACCACTGGCACACGATGCAGCATCTTTAACTATGCCACGTGACGTAACGATGTCGTACATGATTACCCATCATGAAGCGAAATGTTCCGTTTAAAATCTAAGCTTTATTCACGGCACATAAACATGTAATTCTTGGCACAGACAATCATGAGCTCGCAATGCAAGCATTGCACTCGTTAGCTCGTTATGGTCACACCTGGTAAGGGCCCCTTCAAAGGAGTTAGAGTATTTTGTGTTCCTTGTATTCTTTATAGTTTACTACACCTCAGTGTGCGATGCTTTCAACCTATTGGTAAGTGTTGGTTGGAAAAAGCTCGACATAGGCGTGCGCACGAGGGCGGAGAGGGGGCGGCCGCCCCCTATTTACCTAAGAGGGGGGCGCAAAATTGCTCTATACATTGACCCAGTATGGCGGGGGGGTGCTGCGCTGAACTTTTGCCCTTCCTGAAGGACAACCTGCACAGCCTATTAAGCTTGATGAAGAGGAAGAAAGCCGCATGATACGGGTAAACGAATAGCAGAATGACAAAAAAAAGAAGTGATGCTCAGGCGATGGTGCCTGAGCATCACTCAGCCTGAGCCTGAGGTGTTTGTGTTTAAAAGATAGTGTTCTTTTCAACTGTGTTTACATGTGTGATTCACTCAATTACAAGCTCAGGCACTGGAGCCATGTTTATGATTGAATTACAGTGTTCTTTTCAGTTGTGTTGACGTCTAGTGATTTCATCGTTACATTTGGTAGCAGCGGTGGGATACAAGAAATGGATGGAATGAAGAACGAATTATGAAGGAGGCACTGGAGGAGCTAGACCACAGGCAGTTAAGCAAGTTCGAAGAGTATCTTCGCGATCTTTTGGGTAATGCAACGCAACATACTGCCAAAAACGTAAGTCAAACGCCAAAGGTTCAAGGGCAGGCCAGCGTTTAGGAACAGGAAATTGTTAATGGAAACACTGATCTGAGTGAGCAAGGTGACCCAGGCATCCAAGCCTGTGTGGTAGTGCGTACAAATAGAAAGGGAGACTGTGAGCCAGCGTCTATGCCGCTGTTCAGCAGCTGTGCTCTCAGCACGCCCACCAAGAAGACGTCAATGCCATCCAGAATTTATCTTTCAGCCTCTGCTCAGCATCTCTTCATCGAGTCAGCGGAAACTCGGGAAGTGTCTCCAGTCAAGCTACTGGTTGCAATGGCCGAGACAAGCTGCTAAAAGCTACTGTGACTGCAGCTAGTAACGAGGCTATGAAATACAAGTCGGCAGACGGGAATCTCAATGGGTTAACAAGGTGCCAGCAGGACGCTTGTGGGAACAGTAACCTTGTGAACGCACATTGCCTGTCCCAACCGACACCCTTCATTTAAAAGCCATTGCCCGAAACGCAATTTTCGCAGCACGAAACGTGCTGCAAAAATTGTCTGCTGGCTCTATGGAGCGCGTGCATGTATGCAGCATTGATGATTGATATGTGGGATTTAACGTCCCAAAACCACTGTATGATTATGTGAGACACCGTAGTGGAGGGCTCCGGAAATTTCGATTACCTGGAGTTCTTTAACGTGCAGCCAAATCTGAACCTACAGGCCTACAGCATTTTGCCCTCCACTGAAAATGCAGCCACCACAGCCAGGATTCGATCCCGCTGCCTACAGGTCAGCAGCCGAGTACCTTAGCCACTAGACCATCGCAGCGGGGCTTGTACGCGGAGTATCCAAGAGAGGAGCATGAAGAGAAACTATGGAAGGACCATGCGAATAACACAAAAGTCGAACAAGTCTGATGTCATTGATGGTTCTAAGCTATATAACTAGATAACCTCTCGGCGACGAAGCCCGTTTACATTTTAAGCATCGTGAACAATGCAATCAGACACAACTCGAACAAGCAACTAACCCAAGATACCATCGCATCAAGGGCCGACAAGAGCACATTTATCGTTGGCAGAATGATGGCGGCAATTTTAAGAATGTCCAGCGTACACAGAAGCATTAACTCGACACAACGTACATTGTCGCCAACTATCTTCTTTTTTACTCGACCACATCTCTTACACACAGCAAGCTAGCACGCCACCATAAGAAAAGACCGCTACATGTGACTATCTTGTCAAAGCGTGCATTTCTGAATGCTGGTGACCTCATATGCTATTAAGCTATTATTGCGGCCTTCAGCTCCCAGTGACTGCTCCCCTCTCAAGGAGAGGCACATTAACTCGTAGAGTTTCGTAAAATTAACTAAAGGGGACTGGCGCTGCAATCGTTCAGCGGCCCTGGGAATGATAGATAGTACACGAATTCGCCTAGTCTTCGTACTTGCAGTCAGCGAATCGCACTAGTGGCTTCACTTATTACTGTGTTTTGGTTTCATTTCGAAGGAAAGAGCACACCCTTTTGAACTTTGAGACCCGATTTGAAATGGTAAGCCTAAAATATTCAGGTGGTAAGCGCAACTGCTGAACATTTTCCAATTGCTGTTCCGTGACAAAGCAGCTTCAAGCCACGCGAAGCCAAAAAAACGTAAAGTACGAAGACTAGGCAAATCCGTGTACTACCCATAATTCCCATGCTCGCTGAAGCGCCATGTGTTGCAGCTCTCATAGACACTAGTGCCAGAGTTCCTTCTAGTGTATAAATAGAAAACTATATGCATTAACCTTCTATTCCCACCTACTCCACCACCAATTATCACCCTTTTCATTGTCCTTTCCCTCTCCAGTGGAAAGATGTTATGTGTTGTTGGAGCACGCTAGATGAAGGGAAAGAACCCCCAAGATATATGTGAGCAAATGGCAGGAAGATAAGGAAGATAAGGTGAAACTCAAGCGATGGAGTCTTGTTTGTGATTGAAATATAGCATTCTTTTCAGTTTTGTTGACGTCGAGTGGTTAAATCATCACAATATTTACTCGCAGCTAGCTCGCTGAATACTCCATTCTGATCAAAGAGTTACTCATTTTACGTTTTGAATGTCACATCACTAAGCCATCTGAAACATTGCGTTAGGCTGACCTGTTCACGATCCCTCAGGAGTCGTTCAACCAGCTCTTCAGACAGCTGGTCCAGCCAGTGCTTCACCTGGGGGAGGGGGGAGGAAGAAAACAGCCACAATGGTGAGCACGAACAAAACCTGAAAATTGCTGTGCATATGGGAATATAGCCTTTTTAAGTGCATAGCACTTTAGGGGCTCTCCTTGTTGCCCATCCATAGGTCGTGCGTGCCGTGGTCATGCTCGCAATCGAGCGCTCAGTACAGGCCTAACGGAAGGCTAGAAATGCTCAAAACCTGGTTGAAATGAATGACCAGGGTCTGAAAAAATATATTTAACAAATATAGCCAAGCAGGAATCGCAATAATTCACTTAAAGTTACAAAATATGCTTCGGACACATGTGGCCGACTTTTACACAAAATATATGGTGCCACCACATCACAGAATGCACAATTTCTCCTCCCATGTGCACTTTGCCGCTACATCCAAAAAAGAAAACACCCGATGGAACTTGCTGCAGACAACATATTGTATCTTAACTGCCGTGCTCAATAAAGCAATCAGTGAAGTTGACAAATCGCATAAAAAGTAGTGTGCATGGTGCACATTGAGTTTGCGAATCTCTCTAACAAGATTTTACTTCTGCCGGGGAAATCTGGCATGCTCACCTCATACGTTACCTTAATCCACAGTTTGGTAAACCGAGGAGCGAGAATTATACAAACAGGAATCACTGCATGACCATGCTACGCATTTCTTCAGGTGTGACAGTAAAGCTGTACTTGTTTTTGTTTTTTTACATACAACACCTTTAGTTGGAGCCACGGCAGGGCCTGTATAACGCCTTCAGATGCAGTGTGCACATTTGCAAAAGTAAGTATTTCTTCTAGTTCTTTTTACAGGTGGTAAAACAAACAAGCAATATACCTTGAGCTTTGGACGAAGTGAACCTTCCACACATTTCAATACGTCTTTATTTAGCATCCATGTGCAGTGTAATGCTGCCACTCATCACAATGCACCAAATCATTCAACTTGCCACGTAGCTGAGACTATATCGAGTATCATTTTTTCCGTGTTTGAAGTGTTTACAACCAATTATAAGTTGCATATGTGCTTCAAGCCTGAGATTCGACTCTTTATTTAAAAATGCATCACTGACTTCAGGATGAACAGATGTTTATTAAGGCCTTAGATACTTTGACGTAATCATCATCGAGTGATGACAACACCATATGACATCATGATGATGTTGCAGATCGTCAAAATTTGTAACTTCATCATGACACACGGGTCGCCAAAATTTGTGCCATCATTACGATGCCACTACGACGCACGTAACATGGCTTCACAAGATGACATCATGAAATGACATCGTCGTCAGGTCAAAAGAGGGCCAATCACAAGGGTAGTGAAGAAACAAGGTTAAGTGCAGACAGCTTGCAATGCCTCCGATCTTGGAGGCTGTGCCAAGCAACGGTAGATGCCGAAAGCTTTTGGTGACGGGGAGATCAATATGTCTACTCAATAAAGAAAAGAAAGATGGCTTTCACCCTGAAGTAGTCTTAGGCGAGTACATAAGGGGCCTCCTGATATTTTTGCACTCTGAATAGAGATTTATCACGAAAAAAATTATGAACCATTATACCTACGTGTGGTCTTTCTTGCAATACAATAACAAGTGCTGGAATAGGAAGTTATGTAAATTTGACACATTTGTCAGAGGGAATTTTCCTGCCCATATGATTTTTGTCACCAACATTTGCCACTGCTTTTTGGCAACATGTCATGTTTATCGTTGTGTAGTGCAAGCTCTCTTAGGACAAACGAAAATGGCTAACTGCACATGTAAAGTTTCTACTGCTACAAACTGCAATGAATACAATGAATACAACTGTGCTATTAAACGTTTTCTATTAATTGCAGCACTGCACCGATGACAGCGATACCCTAATACCACTATCCTTGCGAACAACTTTTCTGGGCAATGAAGGGAAAGCTACGGGAGTGGACCTTGTGCATATTGCACTCCCACAAGAAGGGGGCTGGTTGGTCGCAAGTTTTCTTCCACTGCAGACAGTGATGGCTGTGCGGCATCAGCATTGCATAGTGTTTGACTCGTCCACTTAAGTGACAACTTGTGTGACATGAGTTTCTGAGACAAATAGATGGAACAGCCAGAATGACACAAATTCTCACCTAAGAAGGCGGATGCCATTAAGCATTTGAGGTACGCATAAAAAGCACAACCTTGTCACACTCGCAAGAATGCAAAATGGCAGCGTATACATTACAGCAAATATTATAAGTGTCTCACTAGTGAGTACCGTATATACTCGTGTAAGGGCCGCCCTCGTGTAAGGGCCGCACCCCAACTTTGAAAGCGGATATTTCGAAAAAAAAAAAAACAAAAGTTCAAAATGTCCCGCCAGAAAAGTGTAGTTAGTTCATTTACAGCCAGATGGCGCTGCACGCTTTTCCGCTTTTATTCTACTTCCGCCGACGCGCCGACCACGCTGTTGACAGCGCGCCGCCATATTTGCCTTGTGCGGCCTCTTTGTTGGCATCGTTCCTAGCATCGTGTCGATACGTTGGCAGCGCGACTTCAGATCGGTGTCGTCGGTGTCACTTTGTTGGTTGTAGTGAACCCTGCAGAAGCCAGCGCACGTGACGGACGATGGGCCGGCATCTGAGATCATTCACTGCAGCATTTAAGCTGCAAGTGATTGACTATGCCGAGGAGCACGGGAAGCGGGAAGCTGGACGAAAGTACGACGTCGATGAGAAGCGCGTGCGTTACTGGATGAATCAGAAAGATGCCCTCGCCGCTACTAACAGGAGCCGAAAGGCGTTTCGCGGGAAAAAGTGCAAGTACCCGCAACTCGAAAGCGAGCTCGTCAACTACGTCGTCGACACACGAAGGGACGGCTACGCCGTATCGACTGACATGATACGCGTCAAAGCCCTCAGCATCGCTCGCCACATGGAAATACCCCCGGCACAATTCAAGGCAAGTCGGGGCTGGGCTACGCGGTTTATGAACCGTAACCAGCTTTCTATTCGGCGCCGAACGACGATTTGCCAAAAACTGCCGCGCGAGTACGAAGACCACGTCATTAAGTTTCATCGCTTCGTGAATGCTCTCAGGAGGGAGCATGAATACGACCTGTCCCAAATTGGGAATGCGGACCAGACACCTGTGTGGTTCGATGCACCGGAAAGCACCACAGTGGATTTAAAAGGTGCGAAAAGTGTGTCTGTGCGCACGACTGGTGCAGAACGCCAAAGGTGCACTGTGATGTTGTGCATCACGGCAGACGGCAGGAGGCTTCCGCCGTACGTCGTATTTAAAAGGAAGACTCTCCCAAAAGAGAAGTTCCCTCAGGGAATCGTCGTACGTGCGCAAGAGAAGGGCTGGATGTCCGAGGAACTGGTCGTTGACTGGATTAAGACCGTCTGGGCAAACAGACCTGGAGGGCTGTTACAACGGAAAGCCCTCCTTGTTTTGGACAGCTTTAGGGGCCACTTGACCGACCGCGTCAAGAACCGAGTTGCCGCAACTCGTACGGACTTGGCCGTCATTCCCGGTGGCCTGACGAGTGTGCTGCAGCCGCTCGACGTATGCGTCAACAGACCATTCAAAGTGGAATTTCGCCGATGTTACTCTGAATGGATGGCTGGAGGCGTCCACGAGAAGACCCCTACAGGACGGCTGAAGCGGGCGTCGCTCCAACAGGTGTGTGAATGGATTTTGAATGCGTGGCGTGCCATGTCAGTAGAAGTAGTTGCTAAAAGCTTCAAGGTAACGGGAATTTCGAACTCCATGAACGGCACCGAAGATGACCGTCTCTGGGAAGACGCGGACGCCGAGGCGAGCTCCTCCGAGAACGAGGACAGCGAAATGGAATCCGAATAAAAACATTTCTGGCATGTCATTTGTGACTCTTGCACTCTGCTACTGTTGCATAAACAGTACAGACCTTTGGCCTGTACTGCCTGTACTAAATCGGCCTGATTCGTGTAAGGGCCGCACCTAGCAAAATTTTCGAAAAAAAAGTGCGGCCCTTACACGAGTATATACGGTACTGCATCCTGTCTTAAAATTGTTCCTGTAGAAAATAAAGTGTGTTTCTTTTCTTTCTTTTTTCCCAGAAAAAAAAACGGACGCTATTAAGGGACTACATGCATTAGCAGTAGCATTTGCGAAATTTGGCTCTGTAGTCTTTGCTACAGGGACAAGAAGTTTTGTGCAAAGTTGTCCGTGGATATTACAGGCGAGTCCAGAGACACACACCAGGCAGCATAGCGACACACACATAAGGAATCCAACAAAGAAAAATATTCCAACGGAGAGTGGCACGCTCTCAAAACAGGTGTCCATTTCATTTTCTCCAACATTTCAACCCTAAAGGGAGTGTTTCCAGCTAAGAAAGCGAATTCTTTAGCATTAACTTGATGCAGCAATGAGATTCGTGTTACACATAGTATGAACTGTGAGCGAAAGCCTCACCTTGGTTGTGGTGTCGAGGGCTAGCTGGCCTCGAAAGTTCTTGCCGCAACCGATGGACTGGGCCAGCTTACGAGGAGTCACCGGCTCGTAGTCAATGCCACGTACAAGCTGGTACAGCCACGTACTGGAAGTGCCAACATGTCCACGATTTCTTTTTTTTTTAATAACCACATATTTCATGTGCCAGCATCAGCTGGCAGCACACTTCTGATCAATACGGTGCACCTGCTCAAGAAGAGGGAGTACTCCATTCGTTCTTCTTTTCTTTAACACAACAGAGTAGCAGGGAATGAGAAATGTAGCAATATGTAGCATTCGATGTGATGAGCGACTCGTTGGAAGGTTTTATAACTGTCGAAACATGTTACAACCTCTTCCAGACAGGCATTGTTATTCTTACAGGTTGCACATCAGATTAGTAAGATATTGCAACGGTGGGTTCTTTACCCTAACTGGATTAGACTTTAATGCCTAAATTCTGCTATACTTTCATCTATCGGAGATGAGCCCGAATCAACCACATCTACTAAATCTAAGATGTCCTGCTAAGACATTATTGTCCTTAAGACAAGTTAAGCCTCTCCTGTCCCATCTAATATGTCATTGTTTAGAATGCATCATGTCAGTAGTGCAACCAGAAAACTTTTTTGGGGGGAGGGGGGGAAGGGGAGGATGTTTAAACTTTACCCCACCCCCACCCCTAAACTTCCTCTCTACGCCAATTATCCTGCTGGTGCACACTGAACACCACAACCATCACCTTTCGACAAGTTGCGTGACTAACATATGACCTCAGCCTCCAGGAAGCCATGACAGACATTCATGTGTGCCCTCATAACAATGCAAGCAATAGCTGAGAATCACCATATCTACAATCACTTGTCGTGAGAGAGAAGAGAACTTTCTCAATGACATAAATCCAGCAGACCTTAGCCTCTCTTTCACAAAAGAAAAGAAATAAACCCTGTAGACTTGAAACAAATGGCTTTCTTTGGGTACTGGAAACACTAATTGTTTACCTTGCTGAGACAAAGAACAGCCCACAACCAAACTGAGTTGCAAGATGCGTGTGTCACTGCTCACCAGCCAACTCTTTGAGACACACCTGCCAATACGTGCGAATCTCATGACGCCTGAAAGTTCAGGTACAGCAGTCAGTCATGCCACTAAACTAACCTCTGTAAACTTAGCTGATAGTTGTGGGACACTTTCTTTACAACTGCCGATCGGCGCTATTTTGTTTTTCGGCAGCTGACCACAGTGTTGTTTTGACCAACTTCCAACATGGTCACACATACCAGAAGAAATAGAGCAAGAAAACGCGCAGATGAAAAGCATACACTATACAAGCACTGTCTTCCAAGTGATTTTATTGACTTTAATGCATTATGTAGGGAATATGTGCACAAAGAAAACAGCTACACCTATGAAAGAACACCAAGCTGGAAAAAAACAATCGTAGTGGTGTCTGGTGCATGCCCAGACATTTTAAAGAAGTACTGACAAAAAAATATTGACCTCGATTCTTTTTTTTTTTCTGCAATGTGTTGCAGGGAGCCATCTAGACATCATGATATGGCACATTGCTAGCTTTGCGTGCAACAGACAATTAATTATAGGCTACTCATTGCCAACCAGTCTTAGTTTCTGTTTGAAAGAGCTCCAAAAATGACAAGCCGCCAAGTGCAATTATTGCCACCTACTGTGTGAAACGTTCAACGACGTGAGCACACGAAACTGTGGCACACTTCAGCATGGTATGCATCGAGAAGTCTGTTCAAACAGGAAACAGGACAGCAGCGTGGCCAAACAAAAAACTTTGAACACGTGCGCCGCAGCAACGGACTCAAGAGAGTAGCCACCGCGAAATAATCTGCTAGAGCAAATGCAGCAAAAAAGAAAAAAAATTGGCAGCTGTGACATCATCAAAACTTGTCCTTACTGCAGCGTGGTGACGTGAGGGAAGTAGGAGGGTCACCGTGGCTAATCTATCGCGTCTGCAAGTTTCAAAATTCACGTAAAATAGCTTCCGAGGTATGTTCACTGTTGATAATTTGCAGATGACGCGCATGTTAAAGGATATTGATCTCCCAGTATATCTCAGCTACAAAATTTTGCATCAGTGCCCCTTCGAGAGTTGTCCGTCAGACAGCGCAACTGACGGTTCACTCACACAGCCGCTCCTCTCTCTGGCCTCTCTTTCACAAAAAAAAAGAAATAAACCTTGTTGACTTGCCTCGCCGATTAGACGCGCTTGCTCATGCTTCATCTTATTGACCACTGCAGTGCACTAGAACTGCAGAATGCACCACCACATGCTAACACGCAGCGCCAGAAAACCCTTTTTACCCCAGTCACGCTGACACTCTTTAGGAGAGTAATGGGCCACACAACTCTCCAAAAGAGAGTTAGCATGTCCTTCGAGAGAGAGTTCCACATTCCACGACACTCCTGAAAAGTGTCGATGTGGCTTTAAAGCTTTTGTGCCGTCAAGGCCGACAAGACAGGTTCTTCAACGAACAACATAAAACCAGAGTGACACAGTGTGCTGTTTGAACCGTACATCTGCCGTGAAACAACCTAACACGCAAATGGGACGTTGGGAATAGTAAAATGAGTATAAGGATACTGACAATCACATTCCTGTGTTTGTTCCTTTATCACAACTGCTTGTCATGTCACTGTCTTTTCATGATGATTACTCTCCTATTAGTAAAAACTGTGCACTTTGGATGGCAAAAAAGAAGGCATCTACTAATTGCGGCAGTCCCCAGGCCGTGAGTTCGCAGGCAGTACTAAGCTGGACACCCAGCCATTGCAGCCACATTTCAGTAATGGCTTGTGGTAATGAAACTTAACAGAGAGTTGCATTGCACGTGTTGGTATAACATGATAAAGAGTGGTTAACAGCGCATACGACAGGAAAGCTCTGTCTCGTCTCTTCTATACCCTTCTGTCGTATGTGCTGTTAAGGACTCTTTATCGTGTTACTGAAGCTTTCACGTATGGTTGTATTTTGTGTAACGGGAAGTTATGCTGTAAACCACGAGTAATTATGCGCGTGAAATATTTTTTAACTTGCTAGGCACCCACTACGTGGTTCAAGTGAATACGCACAGTAACGTATGTGCCTTTGTTCGTGAAAGTGTTTATTGATGTACGTACCTGCCTATCCAGCCTACATAACAAGCTCGGCATTACAACAGAAACCTGCACACAATGCTTCAAACTATTTACGGACTGTGTTCCGTGTCGAATGGTCCCTGCACATTCGTACGCATTTTTCTTGCACTGCTTAATATCAGTAGGAATAACCAACTAGCAGAGTCGGCTACCTCATCATCACTCACCCCGTCTTGTGGCCGAAGTGGGATGACAGTTGGTCCTGGGAGAACCGCAGCAAGTCAGCCACCACTTCAACCTGGAGGAGCTCCTGAATGTCCTTGCCCAACTTGCCACCGAGCTTGCGCCTTTATGAAAAGCAGAGCACATCGCCACATTCTGACTCTTTGCTGACATTATCATCAATCAATATTTTAGCTAATTAACTGGCAAAGGGAGATCAGAATGATAAAAGGGAACACACAAAAAAGCCTTCCACATAGTGACCGAAACTTGTGAGCCAAAACTCCTCCCCAAAATTCACCAAAAGATTCTATGTTTGCATGTTTCTTTTTTTAATATTACACTATGAATGAATGAACGGAACGATGTTTGCAAGTTCAACTGACAAAGGGGTGCACTGGCCAAGCAGAACGAGTACAACGATCCCCGAACTTCTTTTTCGATAGCTCCAGCTTAGTCGACCTTGAGGTCAGTTTCCCCAAGCGGCTTTTTGTGGAGTCCAAGTATATTCAGGCAACATCCGGAAACATGAACCGATGTGCAGGTGTGTTCCCCAGTGTGTATTACAACAGACTACGGCACATCGGTAGGAACGAGCGAGAACCCAGGCTTGAGGAGAAGGCGTTATAAACTCTGCTGCTCTCTGGTGCCCCTCAGTCACCTATAAAGAAGGGTTCTAGATGGACTCAGAACGGTGAAGATTTTACTGATTTTAAAGTAAAAAGAAGTTTTTGCTTACTTTTGATGAATGCCTTTTTGGTTGGTGTCCCTTTTCTAATGTTATCTACTTCTTAACAAGACTTAGGTCTGTCAAATGTTTCTTTTTTTAAATCAGTACTTACTCTACGAAAGGTATATTTAGCATGAAAAACATTTTGAGACTACTGTATTTTGCAAGGAAAAAATTCCAATTTAAAGAATATCTTCATTTTGATCCACACTTAGATGGAATTTACACCATTTCATTCTTCCCTATTAATTATCAAACTTATACCATCAGTGAAAGGAAATTACAATTTTTGTTTTAACTAAAAAATAATTTTTGAAGTTCCCCGTTCACGCAATGGCAAACTTCAACACGGAAGTTGCCGTATGAACACATGGGAAGATAGCCATCGATCGGGAAGCCGATTGGGAAGTTTCCCAAAAAATTGTCATTAATGCTGGGACATCTGAAGTGAAATTTCCCTCATATTGTATGTACAATGATTGATTGATTGATTGATTGATTGATTGATTGATTGATAGCCTTATGCACCAACACTATGCTTGTCACTACCATCCATAACTCAAGTCCCCCTAAACAATTTATTTCAATACGTTCGATACTTAAAAGCATTACAGAAGATAGTATTGAAGGATAGGAAGTTTGCAAGAAAACGTCAGCACATAAAATTTACCTTAAATTGCTTATTTAAATGCATAATAACTGAGAATGGTGACAACATAGGCGACTGTTTCGTAGATGCGGGAGTAGCAAAACAAACTAGGTCTATTTCAAACATCAACGTCATGTCTACGTTTAGTACAGTGAGACTCATCTATATCACTTCTCCAATGAGGACTGGAAAAAATCTTTCAAAACAATAACAAAAAAACCTATTTTCCAATGCTAGAAGAGGTTGGGAAGCAGCCAAGAGAGTTTTATCGATGACTCACTGTAGGCATAAAAATACATAACTTGACTGAATAAAATGGGAACTACAGTCAATTCCAGAATTCCAGACTTACGTCGCAATGTGAGCTATAATGGTACTGAAAAAAAGATATGGCAACAAAAAGGCACAAAGTGGAAGACGTTTAGTACAATATGCCCACAAGAACTTATTATTAACTAGAATTACAATAATGGTGGGGGTTCTATGTCCCAAAACAACAATAAGATTATAGGAGACACTGTAGTGGAGGGCCACAAAAATTTCAACAACGTGAGCTTTTTTTAGTGTGGACCTAAATCTAGTCACACAGGCTTCTAGCAGCTTGCCTCCACCAAAACAACCGTTGTCACCTGGATGCAATCCCGCACCCTAAATAATAAATTAAGCTGTTCAATATTTGAAAGCTTTTCTAAATGTATCTTATCGTTAATTTCACTGAATTCGCTTCTAGAACTGTTCGATTCGTATTAGATTCGGTTCCAAAAAATCACTATTTGAAAACTTCTACAGTATTTCACTACTATGAAACTCACAGTTTGTGAACAGGGAGCGTTGCAAACAGGACAGGCACCCCCGCCTCTGTCAAGACTGTTTGCTTGTTGGGCTTGTGCAGACCGCAAGCCAGTTTGGCCAGCACCTGCAAGCAAGCAACAGACCAAACAAGTGAGGGTTTGCTTTCTGTTTCTCACACAGAGTCATCGACGTTGTAGCGATGAGGCATGAAGAAATATTCAGCAGTGAGAAAGTAACCTTGTTGTGTGCGATCCCAGCAGAGCAGCGGAAGCCTGTCTGAGTGAAGACCGCTGCCCGTATCTGCTCCGTGAGCACCGCCGCTCGTGCCAGGAGGGCATCCGGGCAGTCGGGGTCTTCGATGTCGGACAGCCACGCTGCAAGCTCGGCTTCTGTATGTGGACATGGTGATTAGGGTACAATCGCACTCTGCTCTTTAGACATGGGATCCCGCCCCAACCCCATGCCTATGGCATAATGACATGGCGTAAAGTGTGCAGCTTGCGTGGCTAATTACAAATTTGTACACGTTCAGAAGAAGCTGACTGCAGCAATGAACTCGTTTAGGAACTCACAAGTTACACAATTGAAAAAAGAGTAATGTCAGTAGACCTCAACAGGATTAGTTGAAGCTCTAAGCTCATTTGCAGCTCTTGCAGTCAGCAAGTTCAGAGCTGGAAGAATCGTTGAAGTTTCCTATATTATGATCAAGCACAGAGCTGAACAATGACACGAAAAATGAGAGAACACATTCAATGGTTTTCCAATGCTGTCAGAAAAAAAATGTTTTTTCATTTTCAAATTAAGTTTCATTTGTCATATACAATAAGAATGCTACATCACTCTGCTAGAACACAGTTTCAAATGCATGACCCGCAATGAAAGTTTCAAGGAGAATGTCATATCTACTGAGAATTCAGTTTCAATCTGTTAAAACTTGGTTTAAAATATATTACACTGCACGAAAATTTTAAGAAGTGCCTTGTCAAGTACAATCTTTCATCTTAACCCACCTTAATATAACAAGCTTTTACTGTAATAACCACCTCTCATGGTAATTACCCATTGTTGGGCATTTGAGGTACCAAGATCAAAATCAGCGAGACGATGAAATAAATCAGAGTCTCGCTCACTGGCATCGTCCTCCCCACTCTGCGATGCAGTCTTGGGAGTCTGGCCAAGGAAGGAGTTGGGAAGGACGTCGGCACTCCGAGGCAGAGGCACCGCCTTGCACGCTTCAGTGAGGTCTAGGTAGGCTTCGTCTATGCTCGCACGCTCAACCACTTCGCTGAACTGGCACAGCACGGAGAGGACCTCAGCGCCTGCCTCCCGGTACCTGCCAACGAAAGAGCATGAGCAGTCGCACAGACACACGGGTCAACGTTTCTTTCATCCAGACTTGGTCTGGTGCTTCTATTTCATTCACAGGTCTCAGTTTACCTGTGCGTGAGCACCAACCAAATGAAACCAGGGGGCTTTATACGTTATGTCGTATAACCTTAGTTGAGAAAGGGCAAGCAAGCTTACATAATGTAATTAAAAGGACACCAAAAAAATACTTATTTTTGATGCGTAATGAATTACAATTTCACACAATACCAAAAACCACCAGTCTTACAGCAAGAAGACGCTTAGTAAGCAAGCAAAGGCGCAAGAAGAAAATGTGCGTGATGACGCCACCTTGAAATTTCCCCCACCAAACGCATGAGACCACTTAGTGCTCTTTGAAATCAAAACTGGCTCCGATCAGAACATACGAACATATAATTAGGCATTTGTCTCACACTGGGGCAACTGGAGCAGCTGAGAGTGAGTACCCAACGATTAAGACCCAAAATTCGAGGTTCACAAATTTTCTGTCACCACTTTTCTATAACACCTCTAGTTATTAAAAAAAATTTTTGTTGACCCAATGTGAAAAATACACTTTGAAATCAATCATGTAAGCATGAAAATTTCGGCACGAAGTTTAAAAATGAAATTTTGACTGCGACATTCTCCTCTAGTAGTAAATGTAAAACGATAAAATTGACGACATTAGAGTTCTCAGAGTACTTTTATCAATCTATGCCGATTCACTTAGTGTACCTTAAAACCAAAGGAAAGGAGGTGAAAGGCATTACAAGCATTTGATGAACACCCACGATCACCACACCATTAAACCTTCATGATGAGAAAAGACTGAAGATACAGCCAGGGTACGTAACTAAAGAGATCAACAAACGGTAGGGAATGTGTAACGAACAATGACTGCTATTATCTACGAAATGGCTTATGCACACTTTTTTATAAGAAACCACTCGCGTATTGTGCAATGACAACTCTTGTACTCTTGGAGAAAGACTCCATGCATGCGGCACTAAAGGAGTGCTGACACGATATTGAGGCACCCTAAAAGGGACATCTTTAGTTTCCTCGGACCATCAACGCACCATCAACGCTCTCCACACACCGGAGCTAGAAACACGTAAAAAATATTTTACTTTGATTTTAAAGTAACTAGCCCATAATATTCAAGACAGCCCCCCGTAACAGACATTATCGTGACAAGTCAGCACAGTTCACTGAATTTGAGAAATTTTCATCCTGCCTTCAGCCTAAATAACAGAAATCGCTGTCAGAGTCTCTGGACGACAATTCACTCGTCGTCATTGGCATGAATCACATGTGACTGACAGCAAGCCGGCTGTCATTGCTAGCATGTTGCGAGTTGCAATCTTTCCGTGACATCGGGCCTCTCTTGACACGTGACTGCGAAGCCGCCCTCTCGATATCGAAACTGAAATAGCTGTTTTAAGGTAGCGGTATGAAAAATATATTCAATGCTTTCCCGAGCACCACGACACTTTTTTTAGGGTTTTTGACACCGGCATTTCTATTAGAGCAATAACTGGAAAATATTTAAAATTCATGTCAGCGCACCTTTGAGTAGCCTAAGATCTGCTGTATTCTCAATCAACTTATAGCAATATAATTATGTGTGGGTTTGGGCAGGTTGGTAAACAACTGCGAGAGACATTAACTGTCATTAATGCTGAAACGTGGCAGCTATGGCAGGAATACCTGCGACCTTGTGTTAAGCATCACAAAGCCATAGCGCTAAGCTACCACACTGGGTTTGAGAGATCTCAAGACATGAAAATACAAGCACTCTAACCAAAATATCTTAATTTGGACTCACCTGGTAAGGTCAGCCTTACCACGGACCTCTGGTACTCGGAACAGGTGGAAATCCTTGGCCAACTTGGCAGCCTGTTCACCCCTCATACCACGCTTGACCCCAAACGCCCTCGCCTCATAGTTGACGGCTATCAACCTGCAGGTTATTCAAATTTGCATTGACTATTCGCAACAGTGCCAACAATCTTGTGGAGAGCAGGGAGTAAAAGCTTGAGAGTATCCTGGCCATCCTACACACACACATGAGCATAATGGCAGTTAAGAAAAAAAATACTAATAGTAAAGTTAACATATCTCTTCGACGGCGGTGTGCAAATTGTACAATAACTGCAACTATAAAGGTACGTGACTCACCAGCGCGTTTCTTCAAATGGCTTGAAACGCAGTGCGCACATTTGTGCTGGCTTCCTTCTTTTACAAATATCACTCGTTTAACTTAATTGTGCTGCATATTGCTGCACAGAATCAAATCGCTTTGCTGAAGACGCTACTCTCTTCAACAACCGTTCGACATACGGCGTTCCTGGACCAACGCCGATTGTTAATATCCTTTGCTCGAAATGAACATAACACAACAAAAACTGGGCACGTATTAGGAGTCGAATATTTGACATTTTTATGATATGATGAAAGCTGAGTGATTGCTGAATAACCAGATATTTCTTTGCACAATAATTTACATTAATTGCACAGAGTTATGCAAAACAATATATTGCCTAGTTTGCCTTCTTGGGAGGTAATCTTTCGGGCCTTGGAAGTATGTTGTGCGAATCTGGCACATCTTTATACAGTCCATCATAATACACACCTGAAGGTAACAAACCATGCGCCGTACAGTGGCGACGGAAAGAAACATAAGCAGCACATCAGGCTAGTGCTCCGCACGCTTAGCTTGGGGACAGTAAACACACACTCCAGTCATCTTTGACAACATCATAAATGACTCCAGCATCTTTCACTTATCGGCAAGCTTACAAACACTTAAGAAGTTCTGACAGTGGAGCACACAAGTGCCACACTGGTCACGTTTCTTTCCATCATGATAGTGCCTAGCTCGCATTCAGGATTGAAGCATATTCCCCAAATAATACATTCTCACAACGAAAACATTAACTCATGAACACTCCAATGGTATTAGTCTTCCTCAGCAAGGTTTCGAAACAAAAAGAGAAATTTACGACAACGGCGTCACATGAAGAAACACTCTTCATAGTCCCTTTCAAGAATCTCATACAATGTTAAAAGTTTGTTCTTTGCCAATTGCATTTAGTAATATTGCTGTTGAGAATTGGCCCCATGTGTCCACCCTAATTTGAGCGACATTTTTTAATGTGCCACTCACTGACAGTCCGCACTTAAACAGTGAAAACCTCCATAAGTTTCCAAACGTCCAAAACCTGCAAAATAGCATTTTGCATAAATGCTCCAAAAAGCCATACACCTCACTATGTTCTTCTGATGGTGTGCCGTCGTGTTTTTTATTATTGCCATTGTCATAAGAACACTACACACAATACCCTCTGCTTCATGGTTATTACAATGCTTTCAGCTGACCTAACGTTCGTTTCACAAAATTAAGTTCATCACATATTGTAAATAAGCCAGTTTTCTTAATGACTATAGCACACAAGGCTGGTACCGGTTCCTTCGCTTTTAAATGAAAAACGTCTTGTATTTGATTCAACATTTAAAGGTTAATATTTATTATTTGGCTGTAACACTTTTCTGTCCATTCTGCTTACGTGCTTTTTCTGTTTTCATGTAACCGGACCCGTTACACATGTAACCACTGTCTTGTGAACAACGGACAAAAATGCCGAACATCCCCAATTATTCTACATTGTCCTGATAAGCTGAAGCTCACAACACGAGCAGTAGAGTTAAATCTGGAACTAACGCGGCCATCAGTGATAAGTCTCGAATACTTTATGCTACATGTAGTAAACTGTAATCAGATTACCAAAGACCAGCAACAGTGCTCACTACTATCACTATACAGCTTGTATTGCTTGTACTTTACTTTCCTGAGCAATGGTTCATCAGAACAAAGTGTCTCACCTAGAACATGCAGACAACTGACCTCTCAAACATCATGACCACGTGATATTACATGCTCTTATTAATGAGCAATAGTTCTCTTCAAATGTCTTAACAGTGGTGTTCTAAGTTGGTTCAATACACAATAGGCTAAATTGAACAGTTAACCAACATAACTGAACTATTATCTAACTGCTCTGCACTCAATTTAGAGCGCAGTTCTTCCTCCCACTCCCCTAAGGAATGCTTCTAGTGTAAAGAATGTGCCATCTTTAGACATGTACAGCTTGTCAAGTCGTAAACTCTTGCTGACGAACATGTTTGTAGCTGCAAAAAAAGTTGTCCGATAATATCTTTCAGTGGTCACCAAACCGCGCTGCTCATTTCCTGCTTCATTGCATCACAACTTATTGGGGAAAGAAAAGCAATCTGATGCACTGCCTTACCTGCGCTGCAAGACATACCATAACAGCTAAATCCCTCAAACACAGGGTGTTTCTGGAGGCAACATTTTGACAAACTGACTCGCCTCCTTGAAGGCTGCTATTGCCTAAAACTATTAAGTGAACGTGCATGTTTTGTACTCTCTTCTCATATGTAAACAAGAGAGGAGTTAGAAAACAAAGGGGCCAGCAAGGATGAGTGAAAGCGAAAAATAAAGCAATTGGTAAAGAACGAATCAATTACAACAGAAAGAAAGCGTTGGTGGTGTAGTATTCGTGCCGAAAAGGCAGAAGGAGGTGTACATGTTTCGTTGAATTATGGTTGTCAAAAGCAAACACCAGCTGAATATTACAATTTCACAGTGATAAGAACCGCAATGAAATACTAATTTTCTGCCTCTTTAAAATGTTCCACACTCACCCTCCCCCCTGGAAAGTATTGTACTGTGCCACCGCACAGGGCTTTCCATTCCAGTCAGGAGCTAGCCGCTGTTCGACTTGCACGTAGAAGCAGTCCATGTCAACAAGTACCACCGCACGGTGCCGAGGTGTGGAGGCGGTCGCCATAGCTTTCGCAGCTGCATTTTGTGAAGAAAAAACAAAAAGAGACAAAAAATATTGATTTATTCCTGCCGATTAATTCACCCTCATGTCGCCAGTTGCTATCGTCCTAATTATAGCTCAGTAGATAGAGCAACCACCCCTGAACGGCATCGGTCCTGGGTTAAGTCCCTGAAGAAACACATTTTTCCACGACTAAGAAGCATGATTTCTGAGAAATCCATGTTTATTTTCTATAGCATCACATGCGTGATGCGAAGGTTCTGAGCTTGAATCCTCCTAAAATACAAGGTGCTTTTCAATTCACTTTGATGCCTTTCAATTTAGTATGTCATAATTACTATACAGTAGAATAATGTACAAACTTTCCCAAGCATCCACTTCAGCTGCACAACTACTACAGTACAGTTAAAAATAAATTAATTATTTACAATCTTTTATGATTGCATTCCCTATTGGATTTAATAACTTGCACTCTTGTGTTACAAACAGATGGCTGCAATATTTTCCATTAAAGATGGCCCAACAGGCTACTATGCAATGGAGGAAACGTGAGGCGAAACTTAAAGGAAAGGAGAAAACATTCAGTGTTGATGTCACCATCAGAGAGAAAACTTTCACTGCCAATGGGGACGATCAGTCCCAGTCTAATCACCTGCACGAGTCAAAACAGTATTCTTCTAGACTTCAGCAGCTTAATACAAGACACCATGGTATCTAAATCGTCTTCAACAGGTATAACCAACTGTCTAGCAATTTAGCAATGGTGCCTAGGACAACCATTTCGTTATTAACGAATTGACAGTACCACTGAAGGTGTTCTAATGCTTTTGTCGTTTTCTCACAATTGCGGTTATTGCATTCAGCCCTATGATCATTCCAGTCAAGAAGAGATATGCGATTTGGACGCCATTCCCATAGGTAATCAACAAAGTAATATTTTCTAACTTTTGGAACGACTAACGAACACAGCTGTAAAAAGTGAAAACATGGCGGGCTGCATTCAACGAGTTGCGGCATGCGCAAATGCGATTTCATCCTAAGTAAGCACTGTCACCGCTCTTTTTCAAGTGAACATTGCTGTGTTTACATTTCTCTTAAGCGAAAATCCTAAATGTTTAGCAAGGTTGTATGAATGTTGCTAAAGAAATGTAGTCGCCCACGTTCAATAACGCTCCATAAGGAGTTTGGAAAAGCTCCAGTTGGGCTAGTTTCCTTATGAAGCACATTAATGCCAGTTATAGGAACGCAACAAAGTTTATTCGGGCACGCAAATTTCGCACGCCCGTCACTCTTTTTCTGAAACTAAACTGTCAGAAAGCGGAACGGCGCCAAAGTGAAAGCTTTCTGGGCGTCGATCAACGGCGCTTTCCGAAGAACGACCTCTTAAATAGCTAGATCTCACGAATGCGAAGGATCGTGAACAGCGGTCACACGCGACAGCGCCACGCATCGTTCGCGCTCGCATCCGACGAACGAACCACACGATACATTGACACTACATGACCATCGGCACTTTCAACAAAGCCGATCGCCGAGATGTAAGGCACGGCCTACCTTGAAACAGTATTGTCAGCCTTCTCATCGGCTACTTCTTGCTCGAGCTAGCAGCTAGAAGGTTCAGCGTTCGCCGGCCGATGGAAAGGCGACGATACCGAGGAGGTCCAAACAACATGATGAAACTCTCAGCTGCGACAGGTGCAGCGGTCGACGGCGCGCATTTGGCGCGTTCCAGCATGTTTACAACATGGTTGCCAAGAACCTACCACTGTTCTGCTAGCTTCGACGCAAGCACATTTTTTCAAGTAATTACTGTTACATACCTGTTTAAACACTATAGGGCTTTCTTTCGTACGTTTAAAAGAAATATGTTGGAATATTTTGGGAAGATGCAGCAGCGCTTGTTAGTTTCGGTTTGCGCCTCACTGAAAGCACTTGCGCAGCATTAACGCGGTTTACTCGAACGATGGGACATGTGCACTTACGTCGTCATAATTTCTGCGAAATTTCTCACAGTAACGCCAAGGTAAAATGTATAGTTTTTCATGTCATTAACACTTTTCATATTTTCATATCTGATATGTACTCCACCAGGCTATAATAATAATAATAATAATAATAATAATAATAATAATAATAATAATAATAATAATAATAATAATAATTTCACAAGCCAGCTACTTGCGGCATTCCACCTTTCTGTATACCAATTACTCCACTAATCACTGTATTTGTTCAAAACCTTTTTTTTTTTTTGCTCTTACCAGCGTTGAAGGACTGCATTTTTTGAATACCTCCGACCACCGTGCAAGATACATTTTATTATTATTATTATTATTATTATTATTATTATTATTATTATTATTATTATTATTATTATTATTATTATTATTATTATTATTATTATTATTATTATTATTATTATTATTATTATTATTACACCGCTGTACTTACCACGTACCGTGCGTCCGACACTGCGTACTGCCACCGGCACCGGTCTCTTCGCCTTAACAATCGCGCGCCGTTTTTTTTTCTTTTTTTTTTTTTGCGCGCACAGAACACTTACCAGCTAGCACGCGGGGCTGTTTCAGGTTGCATTTCCAATTCCACGTGGTAGAGTGTAGCACCACACTCGGCCGCACTACTGATTGTAATGTCGTTCAAGGGAGTAACGACCTTACGCACATCAATCCACTGAAATTCCACGCAGTTTGTGCATTTCAACCACCCGGTCGTGCTTGCGTTTGCATGCGCGCGTGTGCATATACAGAAAGAAGATTCTTACGTCTGCCAGCCTGGTGCTTGGCAGAATGAAGCGCATAGTGGCTTGGTAGGGCACCCATCCTGTGACTTTAAATGATTGGCAGCACATGGGACTTCCAGGCTTAATGTCCTTCTTGTCTCTTTGTCGTCTTTCTGTTCTCGCACTATAACTATCGTCTAAAAAAAAACAAAAAACGGCCATCCTCTTTTCTTTAGGGGGAGGGGGGTGGGAGAGCGGGAGGCGCTGAGCGTTACTCCAATGGCTGTATGCAAATTGTCCGTTCATCGTGGTGATGAAAATTGGGGAATTCATTTACAATCGTAAAGTTCTAAGAAATTCTGTAAACCTGACAGATGCATCCGAGAATGTAAATAAGACGCCCCCACCACCCCACTCCCTCCCGTCCTCCTCACTTTCTGAGGCTGAATTGCAGCAACTGAGCAGATTTGCATCATCTGAGGGCTGATAATAAAACGCGATATGCACATGAAGGTACAGTACCAAATGTTCCACGCAGAATTTCATTTTCGGGTTGTGTAAATGCTGCGCACGGTGAGCGTAAAGCTTTAGTTGTTTAGGAATTCCATGGTTGCGGCTATGACACGCTGATGGCGAGTGGCTACTTAGGAATGGCGCATCCGCTATTGAAGTAAAAATACTTTCTTGCACCCTGGGCGCATCCCGTGACCATTGGTACGCGTGTTCAGCATTCGATCTTGCAATAGTCGGGATTTTCACTATGTCAATAACCGTGCTTGGCCCTTAGGGGGACTTTTAAAAATATACCTGCGAACCATCTTAAATTGTTAAATTTTACTTCAAGAAATCGAATGCCGTTGTAATTTTATCGTCAAAGGTTTATTAGTAAAGGAAAAAAAAAGAAGACCAAAAGCATCACTTTGTAATTCCGCGCCCAGGAACCTCTGCCCGTGACGTCACAAGTTTGAAAGTGTATTTTTCGGCTACCTTTTCGTATTATGGCGATATTTCCTCGACGGCACTTCCTGAAACTTGGTGTGTTAGGTCTATAGACCCCTCAAAAGGCAAATATACGTCATTTTCTCCGATTAAAAGATATACTTATCACTTAGTAGGCGTCGTCAAAATTTATGACGTCACGGTGTTTGGTGCGTCACCACCCACACTTTCTTTACAGTACACTATACTTTACAGTGTAGTAGAAGCAGTACTTTCTTTTCGGGTGTTTTTTTCTCTCATGAAGCGTCTACTTGCAGTAAGGGTGGTAATGTCAGAGTAATTTACGCATGCGAAAAAAATGCATAGACATTACAAAAAAAAGTATAAATCCACCTCTCTCTCTCAAAAAAAAAAAGGGGGGGGGGAGTCAATGCGACGGACAATCTTTACGTCAGCGAATTTATCTCATTTCATGTTCTGGGCAGTTGCCAGTCCCTTTATATTCCGCCAACATGAAAAAAAAAAGAATCGACCAAGCATTCATAAAAGCGGTTCTTTTTCTTTTGCATTTGTATCGTAATGCCGGCACAACGCAGCATACATGTGCTTCGAGCGTTTAGTGTTCATGTTCGGGATTAAGACGACTGAGATCCTTGCCTTCTGAGCATGGGACCCACGGGTTAATCCGAAAACCCAAGTTTTTTTTTTTTTTTTTTTTTTGGGGGGGGGGACCTTCGAAAGTTCTTTAGGTATGATCCTGGCGTCTCTCAGACTGGTGTGCGGACGCACACCTATCGCGCTCCGCTGCTAATGCCGATTCTGACCAGTCAACGGCCTCGAATCTTCCTGAGCTGCACGGACCCTCTTCCGCGAAGTTCACCTGAACATTTCGACACCTAGTTCACCAAGGTGGGCTCGTTTTTCATCATTTTAGAGGCCTTTTCGCTGCACCAGCGAGCTAAGCCTAGGCGAGGTTAGGCCAGCCTCCCCGCCTACGGCGCTCGCACGTCAGCTGCGATATGCCGCAGCAGATTGCCATGGAAGGGGACGACGTCACCCCTGAGGAATTACAAGGAAACGGATGGTTCTCCGTTCTAAAAAGACGGCAAGAATCGCGAGCGAAGTCACACGCAGCCCGCCAGCCTGGAACGCAACGAGGCGCGACAGCGACGCCGAACGCTACTCTACGACGCGTCGCAGCTGCGAGCCGACTGCCGGCGATGCCACGTAGTCACAATCGAGTCATCGTGCGACCGGGAGGCGGCCTCAACGTGCAAGCCTGCAGCCCGCACAGGATTCTCGCCGCACTAACCATGGCAGCTCAGCTAGCGCCGTCGGTAACGGAGGAGGACATTATTTGTCCCAACTCGATGCAAAACATTTTTGTCGTCAGTACGCCCAGCGCTACTAATGCAGCAGCGTACAGCCGAGTAACAGAGATCATCCTCACCGACCAGAGACACCCGGTCACGGCCTACCTCTCACCTGCCGGTATCACGAGCCGAGGCGTGATTCGCGGCGTCGACACTGACTTTGACGACGCAGCACTCAACCGCATGCTAATCCAACCGCGCAACTCAAGCCTACTGGGAGCGCGTCGCATCAAAACACTGGAACTGTGATTCTGATCTTCAACGGGCTCAAAGTGCCCAACTACGTCTACTGCGGCCAGGTCATCTACCGCTGCACGTTGTATAAGCGCCAAATAGACACCTGCCGTACCTGCGGCCAAGTGGGCCATCGCCAAGACGTGTGCCCCACTCCTTCAACCAAGGTCTGCGACCACTGCGGTCACTTACCAACGGACAATCCACACGTGTGCAACCAGCCAGTGTGTGCCTTATGTGGTGAAGCACACTTCACGGGCGACCGCGAATGCCGACATCGCTACCAGCTGCCTTACCTGGTGCGCCGTCGTCGTCAGCGCCGTCGCCGACGAAAGCAAGCCCAGCAGCAAGCACCCACCCCAGCAACCAGCCCGGTTGCTGCCAAGACCACCAAACCGCAAGGACCTCCTCTAGACCCACGAAATCCTACTCCCACTGACCAGCCTACCTGGGCCGACAAGGTGGCATGCAAAGGTGAGGCCCACGCAGCGCAGCGTCAGGGACACTCGCCACAGCAACCTGACCCAGAACTAGCACAGTTAAAACGCATGTATGCGGAGCAGGCTAAAGAAATCCAATCGCTTAAAGAAGAGCTAGCAAAACAACAGGCCCCCGAATCGCGCGAGGGTAGCATTATCAGCGGCCCCGTCTCGATACGCGGCGCTAAGAAACGGGCAGGCCCGACGCTCCAGGCCGAAGAGCAATCCGATTTTGACCGGTTTACAGCCAATATATACGCGATACTAGAGCAGTACCGCGCAGAGACCACGGCCGAGTATAGCGCTTTCAACGCTAAACTAGAGAGCATGCAGAAACAACTTATCGAGTTGGCTACATGGCCAGCACAAATAGACGCGAGGACTAAGGTGTTGGAGGAGGACCTGGCACGCAGTAAGCGTGCTGGGCAAATACCTAGACCCTAAAATGGCGTCGTCACAATCATTCACAATTTGGCAATGGAACGCAAGTACCCTCCGTACGCGGAGAGAAACGTTACAACAATTCATTGGCTCTATGACCCAACGACCGGCCGTCATTCTCCTGCAGGAAACGCGTATCGACCGATTCGCTCTTCGCGGATACAGAGTCGAGGCCGTCTGTGGTAACAAAGCTCGAGGAATAGCCACTTGTGTGGCTAAGCCTTATGCTTACACGACACATGCAGTACGCCCAGACCTCAAAATAGAGCATCAGATGATAGAGATTATCCCCAGCGCTCAGATTAAGCAATCGGTATTTATCCTTAACGTGTATAGTTCACCTTCACACAGCACAGAAACATTCACCACACTACTAACTAAAGCGACGCAAATAGCAGGCAACCATCCCCTCATCATCGCGGGGGACTTCAACGCCCCCCATGTACAATGGGGTTACAATCGCACAACACAGAAAGGACGCCACTTACAAACACACATCACTCA